ATTAACATTGCATTTAAAATTTTCGAAGTTCGTAGTTGGCACGTTTCTGGATATGTTTATTTGTTATTACAGAAAATGACCGAAGCTAAGTGTCAAATAATGAAGTAAAGTTATTGGGAAATGAAAAGGCATAGCTTTGTCTACATAGAAATGGTTAAAATGCAATCGACTTTAAAATTTACTTGATATTGATTTTTTTTTAACCATTTCTTCTTCCCAACCAATATTGGTTGTTCTGGTATCATCATGGTTTGTCTTCGCAAAACGAAGATCAAGAGGAAGTCTGTACACGTCGCTTGCAGGCACGTTTGTGACTGTTAAGTCCAAAGTGGAACAGGCAGCAGCAGTTGCAGCTGAAAGTCCATCCAGGGCTCGATAGCATAGCGTTGATATATCCTGGTGTATATATATATATATATATATATATATATATATAAACGTGAGCATTGAAGTCAACACTTAGAGGCGACAGGCTTTTTCATGCTAGACGCCTGACGATTGCGTCTAGCATGAAACAGCCTGTGAGTAACAAGGAAATTTTAAAAAAAAAAATGGACACAAACACGACGCTTATATTTAGAATCAGAAAGAAATAGTTGAAATTTCTGGGACACATAATGAACAAAGAGATACTGAAACATTTGATATTCACAGGACATATTGAAAGTAAGAGAAACAGAAGGAAACAAATATATATATATATATATATATATATATATATATATATATATATAACAAGATGTTAAAGTTCCACACCAATTCAAATAAAAAGTTAGCTAGAAAGCCCCCATCAAAACTGGAAAGACAAATAAAGGCTACTGAACATGAGAAAGCTATTTCCCTGAAAATTTGTTTTACTAGAAATTTTTTAAACACGCAGTATTTAGTATTGTTGAAGTTATCGCTGACATTTTTTTGTTGAGATTCCCAAACTCTTCGTTTCGTTCAATTTCGCAAACCAATCGAGGATATTTGAAATAACTGATTTGTTTGGAAAAATACATTGACAAAAGCCTACTTCACGGTTTAATAATTTCTTTAATTTCATTCATTTTTATAGGACTTCATGGTAAACAAGAAAATTTCTTTTTTTCCATTTTTAACAGCAAAGAATAAATTTTAGGATTTCTTATTCTTTGCCCTGTAACATACAACTGGTCATGCGTAAATATTTCTTTCTGGGGCCAAATTCCAACTTTTTGAAGCGTTTGTCCTCGTGATTTGTTTATAGTTCTCGCAAACGCAGGGACAAACTGGAAACTGAATTCTTGTATGTCTAAAAACTTAAAGAAAGCATATGTAAAAACAATGTTGCATTTTTATTAAATAAGTATTCGGTAATTTAATTATTAAATTTTTATAATACTTGGAGTATTTTGTATGTTAGATAATAAAAATTTTATTTTTCAAGAAAAATTAATGCAAATTTATTTTACGTAGCTACGCACCTTAGTAAAACCAAATGTACTTTGTAACCCGCAACCTGTTTGCAAGTCTCCCCCAAAAAAAAATTTGGTTTCAATCGATCAATGTGTGGCTATTTTAGACGATGTGACGGACAGACGTCACAGAAATCTTTTTAACAATTTCAACCGACAGCAGTACTGGCTACTTGAACTATGAATGCCCAATGTTTCCTTATAAGGAAACGGCTAATATTACCCTTAATATCACTATCACAACTACATACTAATACAGAGAGAGTAACGTGTCTGGTGTAGCTATGATCACAAATATTACATCAGTGTGCCTGTCTTTCTCCGAAATACAAAGATTCGGATAACTTATATGGCAATGAATGATGGACAATCTCCTCACAGATGGAGAAGAGAGTTTAAGCAAAAGAAATGTGGTTCTACAGAAGGATGCTGAGCATAACATGAACCAAACATGTGAGCAGCAACGAAGTCTTAGAGAAAATAGAAACAAAAAGGATAATTATATTTAACATCAGGAAGAGACAGTTAAAATTTCACATAATGAGGAAAGAAGGCTTGAAAAATCTGATACTCACAGGGCAGATTGAAGGAAAGAGGGACAAAAGAAAATAGCGTATAACATAACTAGTGAACTTGTGTAAATGGATGGCAGATCAGGGTATAGGAGAGATAAGAAAGAGAAAATTTATTAAGAGCTACAAAGGGCAGGAAATAAAGGAGAGCCATGATCGCAAAAGTACCTGCTGGAGCGGTACAGGGAACCGACTATTTTTCAGCCTCTTTAGCGATGGATCGTATGTACAAGATCTACTTGAGGCCTTGAATCTCCAGATGGGGATTCGTCTCCAGCTATGCTGGTTAAACTCTCTGCCCGGGGACAGAGAGGATCCCCAGACGAGGAAGGACAGAGTCTTATCTCAGGAAACAGCTACCCGGCCCCATTTTATACGGAGTCTACGGGAAATTTCTGGCCGAGCCTACGGTCTCGGATACCTCACATTAAACTCGGCCTTGTGCCACATCTGACCGCGTGGGGCGGTTGATAGATATCCTACTTGAGGCCTGGGGTGAGCTTGAGTCCCACTAGGCATTCATGGCACGGTGGGAAGTTTCGCCCCACACCAAAAATTACTACAAAACCAAAACATCAACCTGAAAACTCAAGTTATGTTCTTAATTAGCCTTGGTTCCGCCAGGTCTGGCCTTCACGGCAAGGACCCACCATGCCATTTACATAATAACAAAACACCCACACACCCCCCACGTATTCCATCGACGTGAAATTCCACTCAAACAGCTTCTTCCTGCCAACCACTGCTCTATGGAACAGAATCCTAAAAGAATGTTTTCCCGATCGCTACAATATTAACCTCTACAACTTCCAAGTTAACCATTATCTTCCACTCCTATCCATAATGTAACCCTCTACCTCGAGTGGCTCCCGGTCCTTGTACAGGGTGAACCTTAGAGTAAAAAAAAATATTTTTGTCTATCGGCCTGAATATTCGAGAAACTTTATTAAAGATGCAGACAAACCGTTGTTACATCTGACGTCTACTTAAATATGAGTATCCATTAAAATAACATTTAATAAATAAAGGGAGTGTCTACTTAAATATGATTATCCATTAAAATAAAATTTAATAAATAGAGAGTCTACTCAAATATATATATATATATATATATATATATATATATATATATATATATAGAGAGAGAGAGAGAGAGGGGAGAATCGATGAATTATTATAAATGATTATTCAAATCCCGCCAAAATTTCTATCACTTGTATATCCTTGCTTGATCCAGCTTCTAATGCTCTGGAGTGAGCATCTTTGGGATCGAAGGCGTGGCTGTTGGGGGCACAATCCGTTGGGTTACAGAAATTTGAATGAGTATAACCACGGAAGTTAGCGACTAGCGCTGCTACTCATTAAATTTGATTGTTCTTTTTCGTCACCGTTTGTCCAGTGGTATGACACTTCCATTGTATCTTAGCGGTCCGGGTTCGATTATCTGTAGTGGATGTGCCCTCATGATGGGTCCCACAAAAACGGCTGTCCAATGCTGAATTAATGACTATTCAAATTATCCAAAAATGTTCATCACTTGTGTTCGAACAAGTGTTTTCTTTTCTGGACACAGAATGTCTTGAAACTGTCCAAATGTTCTGTAATTCCGATCGCTTTCGGCTATACTTTGGGTCATCATCAATTGATTTTATTTTTGCTTTTTAATTTGGTGTATGGGTTGTGTATATGTTTCTAGAGTTATAGGGATGTTTCATTTTCCGAACACCGTCAGCACATTATGGCCGTGTTCATAGATAATATAATTGAGAGTTGACTTTTTCTTTTTTTATTATTAAGGCTTCCATTATTTTTAATCTTTTTTTACAGGTGGATGAGGTTATTATGTTTGTATTTTCTACTAGTATGTTTCGGATGGAGTCTGGTAAGTTTGCGTGTGTGTTTAAATGGATTCTGATAGAGATGTGGTCAGATAGATGTAACGTAAGGCGTCTGGATAAGCATGTAGTTGTGTGACCGATGTAATCATTTATGAATTCTGTTTGATCAGAAACACAGTTCCTTAAGGAACATTTGAACTCATAGATGATGTTTGTTCGTTGTCATTTTGATTTTGCTGATGTGTTGTTATTTTTGAGGAGAAGGTTAGCTGTTTAAAATATTTTGTAGTAGAAAACTACTTTGATTTTTTTTGTTGTTCGGATCAATAGGGCTAGTGTATTTCTTTATAATATTTCTAAGTGAAGATTCATCTTGTTTGTAATTAATGTGCATTTGGTTTTTGTAGAAAATATGTTATTTTTGACTGTGTGTTCACTATTTACTATTACTAGTCTAATTGTGTGATCTATAACGTGGTTAGGGAAGCATTTGTTAACTAGTGTCTGTTTTACATTTCTGAGTTTTTTTACAGAACATTTGGATAGTTTCTACACACTCTGTGTCCAAAAAAGAAAACACTTGTTCGAACACAAGAAAAATTAAATAAAAAGCTTAAACGTGGTACCTTGTCTGTCGTATAAATGAAGGATTGCTGCCAAAATACACAATATATATATATATATATATATATATATATATATATATATAGCATTAATACAATAACCATTTTCACTTAGCTGATTCATTCAGCACCTAGATTCTAGAGCTTGGTAGATTAAGCATTTTTGTAATTGCTCTCACTCTTCTGGAGGTTTCAACCACTGGCTGTTGTTTTTCTCATTTTTTGTTATTTTTATACTAAGTTTGATGCGATTAATTTATGCGCTAGTTGGGATGCTCTTGTTAGACTGATTTTTTCTTTGTGTGTGGGGGCGTGTGCGTGGGTGTATTCGTGAGTATATATAAGAAATAGCACAGAATGAAAATATCTAGATACATGCCGAAGAACAAACGCATTTATCTCGGATCGAAATCTTTATTATCATGTAAGAATGAATAAATAAAATAATTATACGATGGTCCTTATATTCAGTGGTTCTCAATATAACGTTTCGACCAATATAACACTCGGCTTTTCTTCAGGGGAAACTTAGAGTGTCATCTGAAAAGAATGAAAAATGAATGAAGTTGTCTGTTGAAATGATTCAAAGAATGATAACAATGCGTCATCGCATGATTTCGGATAACATTTTAAATGAAGATAATCGTCGAAAACATAAAAGGTTATATATATATATATATATATAGATAGATAGATAGATAGATAGATAGATAGATAGATAGATAGATAGAACTTTAATGTATAGGTACTGAGATGGTACCTCAATAGGCGATGGAAGATAACTAAAGATAAAAATGATTTATTAGAGAAATTTAAAAACAAATCATTACGTCTTTTCGTAAGTCAAGGAGGGCAAAAAGGTCAGGATTAGTAAGAAACATGGGTATGTCAATATATATATATATATATATATATATATATATATATTGACATATAATTTTTTTTATATATATATATATATATAATATATATAGGATTAGAAATATATATATATGTCACACACACACACACACACACATATATATATATATATATATATATATATATATATATATATATATATATTAGAAATATACTTATGGGTATGTCAATATATATATATACATATATATATATATGTGTGTGTGTGTGTGTGTGTGTGTATGTGTATATATATATATATATATATATATATATATATATATATATTCATTCATTCAAACGTTATTGTAGTGGATACTTCGCATTTGAAATCGCCTATCTTTTTATTTATTAAACAGTGTATTATGTCTATCGACCTGCGTATTCGAAAAATCTTGGTAAAAATAAACCGGAAAACACATTATCTTTACTAAGATTTCTCGAATGTGCAGCCCGATAAATATATTACACAGCGTTTGATTGATAAAAAAAATAGGTCGTCTATTTCAAATACGGAGTATCCACTATAATTAACGTTTGTAGTTATAAAAAAGGTCAGATTAAGAATATGCCCATTAATTCTTTATATATACACAAACCTTATTTTTAAGGATACTCGTGTTTAAAATAGACGCTCCTTTTTTTTTTTTCTTTTTTAAAAAAAAAAAATATTATTTATATAACGGCCTACGTATTCGAGAAAGCTTAGTTGTGAAAATGTTCCCTCCGGCGTAACGCTTTAATTAATAAAAAATGTCGGATTAAAATAAAAATAACAATTCTTTAGAAATTACTTTTTTTACGTTATGAATAAGAAATCGTACCGGTATGAACTTTCGAGAAAAATCAGAGCGAGGAAATGTCCATTCCTTGGAAGGGTAAATAGAACATTGGTGGACCGGGATTCCTTTGGTGGCCGGGTTGTCTTGTCGGAGTTTAGCTCCTCCTTAATTCACAAAATCTTCACCAGGGGTCTCTTTCCCTATACTATAAATACTGGGAAGATTCTTGCCTTTCTCTCCTCTTTCTTCATTTTCAGCGAATACACCTACTATGTGAGCTCTCACAAAAGATAGCGTTTCCCATTTCTGGGAAGACGCTATGAACATTACAAACATACACGTACGTACGAACATTCACCAAAATACGAACATTTACCAAAGAACAGACACAAATGTTCACACACACACGTCAATTGTCTGTGTCAATTGTAAACTTGTTTTTGTTTTACATTATATATATATATATATATATATATATATATATATATATATATATATATATATATATCGGTCTTCTTTTTGTTTGTCTTCTTTATCTTCTGTTGGACTTAACTTGAGTCCATCAATTTTCTTGTAGTTGAATTTTTAATATTCTACCAGGAGTTACACACGTGTTTCTAATACAACACGTAAAAATACACACACAGTCCTCTACAGTCTAAACCACACCGGATAAGACGGCGGTTTCTCTTACAAAGTGAGGACGCAGGTTCGAACCCAAACAAACGTTACGAAAATGCATTTAAAAATAATGGCGAAAAAAATAGTGTTTCTTAAGGGAAAGTTTGCTCAATCTAACGGTGTTATTAGAATACGTCTCTTTGGCTTTTAATATATATATATATATATATATATATATATATATATATATATATATATATATATATATAATATTAGTGGTCAATCTATATATACATAATATATATATATATACATAAAATATACAGATAGATAGATATAAATTCCCAAGAGGATAGAATCCAGGTAGAACTCAATGTCCAGGACAGAGTAAGAATATAATATAAAAGGCCCAAACACTAATATTCCATGGTTATAATTTATTACATTGGAATCGTAATCACGATCCAAATCATCAGACCTACAAATTCAAAAAGCTATATATAACATATATATATATATTTTATTTTATAGTTTTATTTTCTTTTCAACATTTTATAGTTTTATTTTCTTTTCAACATCATCACTGGATAAGACACAGAGTGTGTTGAAACAAAATGGCTATTTTGTAGTGATTTTATAACATACTTATGTTATAATTTTTTATAAAAAAATATATATATATATATATATATGTGTGTGTGTGTGTGTGTGTGTGTGTGTGTGTGTGTGTCTGTGTCTGTGTGTGTGTGTGTTTGTTTTAATACATAGTAAATAATTATGCTTGAAATCTATATATATATATATATATTAAAAATTACAAAAATGTGGATTTATTGAGAAAAATATTATACTTTGTTTTATAAATTCTGGTCTAGTCTTATAAAGATTTTACATATTATTAAAACCATTAATTTTCTTCATGTTCATGTATGGAATATTCTCGATTGAGACATTCTGAAATATATCCGAATTATTTCTAGAATATATGAAGAGTTATATATATATAAAACAATAGGTTTGTATATAGTTATCGGCATTTAATCTTTTAATGAAATGCTCTTGGATCTGTTTCTATTTTTGGCGTGTTCCTGTCTAGCATGCGTGTATATATGCGTGCGTATCGTAACATTTAAACTTATTTTTACACGCATACACACACATACGCACATACAATCCCACCACAAGTAGTCAGTACACACACACATATACAATATTCCCAAGCTACATGGATTTTTACACACACACACACATTTTATACATACACATTGACAATTCTAGAACACACAAAAAATGTCTCATATCGAGAATATTCCACATTGAACATGAAGAAAAATTAGTTTTTTTTTAATAATATGTAAAATCTCCACTTTCACCTAGTTCAATGTGACTTCATCAGGTGATTATTTCTTATATAAATTATATATATATATATATATATATATATACATAAAATATATATAAACCAGGCATATATATATATATATTTTTTATAAAGAAAAAAAAACGAATGGGACAATTCTAACGTTCGTAACATTTGATTTAAAAGAGGACTCAATATTCAATAGCGCATTTTTATTTATTTTAGGGTATTACACTGAAAATTGCTACACACGTGCAGTCGTGTTTCAACGCATATCAATGTGACTCATCAGGCGATTGTAAATTACTAGCGAGTGAACGATTTATTGAGATTTAAGCTGATACATAAAATATACAAACCAGGCAATACATTTTTCAAAGAAAAAAAGGGTGGGACTAGAGAGGTAATTTAACTAAATTTTAAAAATTATGTTTCGTGAATTTCCTACATAAAAAGAATTTCTAGTTGATAAATAAATGTTTTCCTTTAGGAAACTAGTAAGTAATTTAAACGTATATAATTATTTGATAAAATCATTTTACATTGATTGGTTGTGTTATTAACATCTTATATGAAGAATCTTTATTCAACAGTTGCATATTAATTTAACAAATAATTGATTTACTAAATTATTTGATTGGTTCATCAGAAGCCTTATAATGTTCCTTTTTTTGCGAAAAAAGAGGTTGCATTTTGCTTTTAAATCCAAATAAATCGCTCACTCGCCAGTAATTTACGATGGCCTGACGAGACGCATTGATATGCATTGAAACACGGCTGCAGTTGTGTAGTAATTTTACATGTTTCCGGTGTCATATCCTATATATATATATATATATATATATATATATATATATATATACGTGCTAATACCCTTGGGAAAGGTATGAATCCTCTTCTCCTCCAGTTATGGGTAAATAGCAGGACAGACTGGGTTCTATAGTCTTGGACAGCAACTGGTCTAGGAGAACGATAACTCTGAATTCAAAACCTGCGGAGGGTCGTTTGGGGACCTTGCGGCACTTAGTGCACCAGGTCTCTGAATTCGGCCCTTCAAAAAGTGTCGATGGTCCTGCACGAAACCTTCACCACTACAATCAAATCTCATGTGCCGGTGTCGGGCTGTCGGTTTCCTGGAAACTGTGATCTGCTTGACCATCATACGTCGAAATCGAAATGTGTGTGTGTGTATATATATATATATATATATATATATATATATATATATATATATATATATATATATATATATATATAATATAACAGTCTCTGAAACGCAACAAAATATTTGATTACTTAGAATATTTTCCTAAATTTTACAAATTATAGGTTACTTTGAAAAAATATTGAGAAAAGGTACTCACATTATATTCGTCAAGTAATGTTCACCGTTATGTCCCTCGTAGATAAAAATTCACAAACAGGTCTCTCGAGACAAATTGTCAACGCCTCAAAAAAACACGCACCTCCATGGTAAAAAAAAATACTTTTCTGCTATATTTTAAACTAAAGTTAAGTAATATTTGTTTCAAATCAGATTAATTACGCACTAAATCAGATAATCTTCCTCAAATAAAGTACATTTTATTTTTGCAACAATGTAATTTAATTATATTGCGATGAAAGATTCTCTAAAATGGTTGATTTTTAGAAATTATAACGATTTCAAAAACAAAAAAGTCTAATCAATTCAAATACGCTTTGAAATACAGCAAAGAATTTTGCATATTAGAAATATTAAATTTAGTATTTTAGCCTGAAATTAAAACTGAAATAATAGCTTCAAGAAAGTTTTTTCGCTTTTTAAAAATGTCTTTTAAACATTAGTTACCGATTTTCTTTGAAATATATATATATATATATATATATATATATATATATATATATATATATATATATATATATATATACTATTTTTTAAGAGATTAAAACAATTAACATGTTTTTTTGTTCTACTTTCTTATAATAAAAATAATATATTGCTCTACTTTGTATTCAGCACTTTTTTTTAAGTAAATGCTACGAACAGTGGAATTTTACTCCATTTGTCCTTTCTCACATTTGGATATATATATATATATATATATATATATATATATATATATATATATATAATTAGGAGATCAGCCAATTATGCTACTATGGTTTCAATCTTTAGGCATCCTCAGGCGATGTACAGGATGGGATGGGATGGGATGGGTAAAATTTCACCATTTTATATTTTTAATTTCGTGCATGCGCATTGTTTGTTTATAATTTTGTCGACTGCACAGTATAGTCGGGTCAGTTGGGCACTGTCTGTGAAACAAAGAGCTTGACACAATTCATTACTGCCAGAAATTTGGAAACGTCATGCTGTACTGGTGTATTTTTCTATGGGGTTTTGGGAAAGGTTATTTTTATTTAATTCAGAGCTGTCCCCCTCTGAGTTTAGTTGCCACATCAGGCTGAAGAGCACAGTCTACCCTGCCTATTTTCTCTAATGCTGCTATTTAACACATACATATATAAATGCATACATGCATGAAGGTGGTGAATGTTGTCGACTCGCTAATCGAGGGATACAATTTCTAATGCATTCATTTCGTGACCACATATTAATAGCTCCAGAAACAAGCCGCGCACTTAGCCATAGAGGGGTTGGATTAGAGCTGGCCTCTCCTAGTCTGTTTCCACTCAAGGCAGATCTGCAAGACATGGCTTTCAATTCAGACTTTTGCTACTCCAAGATGGGTTGCTTTCACCAAGGTTCAGCAGCTCAAACTACTCCCATCTCTATGATATATATATATATAGATAGATAGATAGATAGATAGATAGATAGATAGATATATCTTTCATAGAATTGGAATTAACACACCATTAGTTAATGATCATTTTCACCACTGAATTTTAAAAATCGCTTTTTTGTAAGGCAGTTTTAACGTTTAATATTTAATGTTTAAAATTTCATATTATGTTAATAGGATTCACTTGGATTATACCAACGGATTACCGCCTGCACACATATATATATATATATATATATATATATATATGTGTGTGTGTGTGTGTGTGTGTGTGTGTGTGTGTGTGTGTGTATTGTGTATATTTAAGCATCATATTTTCACTCAAAGAGGTTTGGTTAAATAATTTAGACATATCATATCGATTAGTTTTTTTTGGGGTCCTTTCAAGTTCGCGGATTCATTTTTTGGTAAACTTAGAAAATTGAGTAAGAAAAATACCAAAATTGTCTTTCGAATAGTTTTTATTTTCCTAAGAACTTTCAATCTCATCTGAGACCATCTTCAGGGGCTTAAGTTGTCTGTGAGTATGTATATATGTTTATTGGTATTTTTCTTACTCAATTTTCTAAGTCTACCGAAACATTAATCCGTGAACATCAAAGGATTACAACGAAAATTAGTCGACATCATATGTCTAAATCATTTAACTATACCTGTTTGAATATGCATATATTTTTATTTTTCAAGCAAGGCGAGAAGACAGTTGCACGAAAATATATATATATATATATATATATATATATATATATATATATATATATATATATCTTTCTGTGTGTATGTGTTTTTCTCTCTTTGTGTGTGCAAGGCAGATTGTTTTTTCTTTCTGTACGAATATACTTCGTCTTTATGTAAAATATTGTAATGAAGGACAAATAAAATATATATTCTTCTTTTATATGCCATGTCCCTTCTGGATGTCTACTATCATAGCTATTCACAATTTCCTATCCTTTGTAGCATTGAATACATCTCCCTTAAAACTTGTCCCACCATCCATTTACTCAAGCTCGCTAGGTAGCTTATGCATTGTTTCTATCTGTCCCTCTTGCCTTCAATCTGTCCTGCAAGTATTAAATTTTCCAAGCACTCTTTCCTCAATATGTGACCTAGAAATTGCAGCTGTCTCTTCCTGGTATTACGTATGCTTTTTGTTTCCATTTTCTCTAAAGCTTCATCGTCGCCCGAATATTTTGTCCATGAAGTTCTCAGCATCCTTCTGTAGGGCCACGTTTCTGTTGATTGAAGTTGCTTTTTCATCTGTGAAGAGATTGCCCAGCATTCACTGACATATAGAAGGACTAATTACGTAACAATATTCAATATCGTTTTCTTTTTCTTTGTTTTTGTAACGGTATTTTTCCAGTTTTGTAATACTTTGATTAGCTTTTGAAAGGCATCTTAGGTATGTAGATTTATTTCCAATCTAATGATTCATGACTTTCGTTTGATCAGGAACGCAGTTCTTTAAGGGACATTTGAATTCATAAATAATATTGGTTTTCTGTAATTTGGATTTTGCAGGTGAGTTATTGACTATAAGGTTAGCGTTTTTAATTTCAGTTCGCCTCGAATTGTTTACATGTATGTATTTATGTGAACTAAAATGCGTACACCTGTATATATGCGTGTCTGTGTGTATGAGAGTGTTCCCTCAAACAAACACAGAAGTAAATTTTCCCTCACACCGCCAAAGTCAAACAAGCATTAATGGATCTAGTTTTAAAAAATAAAACATTTTGTCTGATGATCGCAAAAGCATGAAACCAATTGTGGTCACAAACTCATATCCACACAAATGAATATATATATATATATATATATATATATATAATTTAAATAAAAACGGACCACTTTAAGGTTCCATGTAATAAATTATTTCACCACAGACCTTTTAAAAGGACTGCGGATCATCAGACTTTACTTTCAAAACAAAAAATGAAGAAAGACATTTAAATCTACATACCTAAGATGCCTTTCAAAAGCTAATCAAAGTATTACGAAACAGGAAAATACCGTTACAAAAACAAAGAAAAAGAAAAGAATATTGAATATTGTTACGTAATTTATTACATGGAACCTTAAAGTGGTCTGTTTTTATTTAATTTATTTGCTAAAGAGGAAATTACAAATGTAACAAACCTCGTTGCTTAGTGTGCAAACATTTAATAATAGCTAATACATTTTCAGTACCCAACACCAATATCAGGATACAGCCACCTAACCTCACCTGCGATACCCATAACGTAATCTATTATTTATTCTGCAACTTATGTCCTAATAGTGGATATATTGGTGAGTCTGGAAACAATTTTAGATTTCGTTTTAATAACCATAAACAAACAATACGTCAAAAACAACCCTTATTCCCCCATAGCTAAACACTACAATCAATCAGGACACATTAGAAAACTGCAAATGTTTATTAATAGATTCCGATTTTACTTCAACATTCACACGCAGAAAAAAAGAAACATATTGGATTTTAAAATTAAATACACATAAACTAGGGTTGAATAGGGACTTAGGTGTTTTTAAATCTTTATAAATATTTCAATAGTTAAGCAATTTTTTTTTTTTTTAGATATAGTAAAAAAATTGTTTTAAATATTTATGACAGATTTAAGTTAGGAATATCCGAACAGTGACGTTGCATATCACGTGACGTCCGCGTCTCGCGAAGGACGCTACTTGCTAACAAACAGTAATTTTAATTTATTTGTAAAAACAGTTATTTCTGATGAAAAATTGAGGACAATTTGAAATATCAAATATATATATAAATAAATAAATACTTTCATAAAATAAAACATTATAATTTTCAATTTGAAACTTTTTATATATATATATATATATATATATATATATATAAACAATACAAAAACTCTGCATGGCTATGAGTGCCCTGCATATATATATATATATATATATATATATATATATATATATTATAATTATTTTTTTTAAATATGATTCCTTCGCTACATAAGAGTTCTCATGTTTCAAAAACTAATGCCGAAACCCTCAATATAATAATTAAAATCAAATTGAGTTCAAATATCAAGCCCTGTTTCATCCTCAAGCGAAAATTTTAACTCAATTTAATTTTAATAATTATATTGAGGTTTTCGGCCTGTTTTTTGAAACATGACAACTCTTATGTGGCGATGGAATCATATTTTTTTTAAATAATTATACTTTAAGCTCTACTTCTCTATGAAGCAGTGTTTTAAAAATAAAAACAAAAATACTAAAGAACTCCGGATTATTCACTTAACGTTTCTTTTCCTATTTTCTACATATCTGCACACACACACACACACACACACAGCACACACACACACACACACACACACACACACACACATATATATATATATATATATATATATATATATATATATATATATATATATATATATATATATATATATATATATATGTGTGTGTGTGTGCGTGTTTGTTTGTCCAGCATGAAACAGCCTGTCGCCTCTGAGTGTTGACTTCAATGTTCACTTTTATATTCATATTTACATATGCTCTATCTCTGATATTGAGCACTTTATCCCAGAAATATAGCACACCTTAAAACTATATTCCTTCATATGTATGTATGTATATATGTATGTATGTAAGTATGTATGTATGTATGTTCGTCTCGAACGATAAAAATGTTAACAAATTTAAAATTTGAGACACACTGGGTTCTATATTAATTTTTTTTTTTCTTGTTTTATTATTTAAATTAGGTTCCAAGACTAGTTCCAGGCATCATGAACATCATCAGGAGAAAACAAATCCCTGCTCGTTAGTAGCAGTGAACTACAGGGTTGAATGACTGTTTTTTATATATATATATATATATATATATATATATATATAATTATATATATATATCGAGAAGACTTACGTTACATCTCTCAGAAAATAGCGCAGTTAAGAGACATTTCAACACAAACGGAAACCTACCAAATACCGTTGTGAAAAATAAGACCATAATAGTAGAATTCATTGGTAAAAAGACCGGTTTAAGTGTTTGTAAAATAAAAAAAAAAAAAAATGGCTACAACGTGCAG